AAAAACACAGCAGCATTAAGCTGCTATTTTACGCCGGTATTCTGTAAGTGCGTGGTCCTACCCCGTATTCGTGCTGCAGGTAGAACCATACCACGTAAGAAGATTTTATACGGTTATATCGATGAGCTTCATACTTATTTATTAAAGGTATGAAGTGTTTGAAAAAGAAGAAAGTAAAACGATATGTGAAATAAGAATAGAAGGAGAGATGGTCGAGAAAGTAGGTGAGTTTGTATATTTGGGATGCGTATTTAGCAGGGATGGGAGATATGATATTGATATAGAACGACGATTGAACGCAGATAATAGAGTAAATGAGGCTCTACACTCTATTGGGGAAAGTCAGAATGTCTCAAAAAAGGCACGAATGCCAAATCACAATGCTGTGTTAGTCCCTACTCTAACGTATGGTAGTGACTAGTGACAGTTGGGTGTGGCAGAAGAAGCACGAAAGTAGAATAAACGCAGTAGAAATGCGGTCGTTAAGGAGTATGTTAGGGCTGAATCCGAGTAACAGGGTGAGAAATTGTGTAATAAGAGAAGTGTGTGGTACGCAAGATGATGTTGTGACGAGGATTAAGAAAGGAATGCTCGGTAGTTTGGTCATGTAGAACGAATGAATGAGAAAAGAGTGACAAAGCAAATTTATGTGGCAGAAGTGAACGGCAGAGTCGGTAAGGGACGACCTAGGTGAAAATTTGTCGACCAAATTGGCGATCTATCATCGAAGGGGCCAAATTAAGAGTACCCTTAGCTGACGAGCATGTATGCGTAGGTATATGGATGTGGAAGAGGCGAGAGAGGTGTGTCAGGATCGTGCCAAGTCTGTAGTCTCTGCCTACCCCTGTGGGTGACAGGCGTGAGTGCTTATGTATGTATGTATTTAAATAAATAAATAAAAATAAATTAAGTCGAGTCCGGTGGAGGTTCTGTTGCTAACCTAACCTTCCCCTGATGTCACGGCTTTCATTCTTCGATATGTGTCTTAGCGCCGACTTCAGAACCTACTAAGCGGATATTATTTTAGTGGCGAGAGAGGTGTGTTAGGATCGTGCAAGGTGGAAGTCTGTAGTATCTGCCTACCCCTCTGGGTGACAGGCGTGAGTGCTTATGTATGTATGCATGTATGTATGAAGTGATTGTTTTCACTTGCCACAATTTCTCAAATTATCCAGGGTTGACTCGTAGAGAATGCCATAAGGCATTAAATCCATCCTTTATATCCCTTAATATAATGTGTATAATAAAGGTTAAACAAAAAATATCTTTAAAAGCGACGTGTTCGTATCCTTCTATATTAGCGGACCTGTGATGTAAAATAGAGGTTAGTGAAAGTGTACTAATATAGTTATAATTAAAAATATGTAATTGTCGGCTAAAGGAGTTGAATTGCTTAAAACGCCCTTATTTCATTTCTTCCCGTATGTACCCTAAACACACTAAGGCCTTACGGTTTCCTACAGATTTTTTTATAGAATAGGGTGACAAACGAGCACATATTCCACCTGATGGTAAGTGGTTACTGTGACCCATAGTCATCTACATCTATCCTCGATTACGAATCAAAATACATATGTGTTATCACCCGTGAGGACTGGAAACGAGGCATTCCAATGTCTCGTTTCCAGTAAAAAGGGTCTCCGGTTCTCTACACTCACCGTAGGAAACACAGCAGCATTAAGCTACTACTTTACGCTAATATTCGGTGAGAGCGTGATCCTTTCCCGGTCTAGCCGACCCATTTGTGCTACAACTATAGTTCTAATGTAACTGCGGCATGGCTCTACCACGTATAAAATAGTAAAAATAGGGGAATACTAATCTTTTTGCTCAGGCTCAAATGCTCAACTACCTAATACAGAAGAGTTCAAAATCTTTTCCCCTTAATATTTACTAACCAGTAAAACTCCACTGTTTGACCTGGACTCCTCCCATTTTAGGACGATCACAGTTTCGTACCTTTGACACCACTTTTCAGATTTTTACGCCTGGCGTTAACGAGATAGATAGATAGATAGATAGATATTACGCCATCTACCGAAAGCTATGAAAACTTTTCAGCATATCCCTTGGTCGCCTCTTTCCACACCTTTGGGACGATGATGGACTCTCATACGCTAACACCACGCGGTTCACACAAAGCTCAAAAGTGTTATATCGAATCTTATCTAATATGGGAAAGATCCATTTCCAGCTGTGAAATGTTTATTGACTGATAAAAAAGCACTGGTGACATGTAGCGGTGGTGTAAGAATATCTACTAACTCATATCGTTCCGTGGTTGTCTTAAGAGGCGGCAGAGGGAAACTGAAACAGGAAAGCACTTCGATTACCATCTCACCAGGCCATCGTGGCAATGGCATAACCCTTACAGTGAGGCAATCTGTGGGTGTGGCCTATTTTCAGCAGTCACACTTTTGTAGCCTTTGATTAAAAAAGAAAGATGCGTAATAAACAACATAGCAGAGAAATCACGAAATAAGGAATAGAACGTTCGAAAAGCCCCCGATACTTGATGAACTCATCTTTGCTTATCCTGGAGCCATAAGACACGCTTATATTAGTTTCATAATCTTACTTACATTATAATTCTAACAATGTACATAGGTGAAACTACTATACTTGAATATATAGTATATATATATATATATATATATATATATATATACTATAATACAAAGAAATATTTATTTGAAAAAAAGTATATTAATTTGAAACGTAGGTACTATAGATTACCATCTTACCTCTCGCTGTGGGAGTGATTTCGTGAAAAAGGACGGAAGTGTGTCCTAGGAAGCCTGAGAAGCGCGCGCTGTTGGATTTGACCAATGAATGCGCGCGGTGATAGTAAAGTTTGCTGTTATGTAAACTAATTTATATGTATATGTAAACTATATAAATAAATATATTTATTGGGGATAAGTGTCTGAAAAAGGGCAGATCATTATTAAAAACCGCAAGTGAGTAGTCTCTATATATAAAATTCTATTGCTGTCCGTTAGTTCGCTAGAACTCAAAAAAGGCTCGACATAATTCGAAGAATTTTTTTGTGTATTTGAATAGGTCCTTGGATGGTTTAGGTTTACAATAAGACCCGGTTGATGGCGCTGTTGTCGAGACCTTATAAACTGCCAGTGCGAAGCCAGGGCGTATCGCTATTAATGAATAATTATATACGAATGGATATTGCTGAATTTAGCTTTTATTTAATTTTGAGGTTAATTTCTGTCGCTACTCAATTGATATTTTTAATTAAAAACTTATAATACTGTCTAACTTGATACGTTAGTAATGAAAACGCGCAATTCGCAATTCTACTACTACTTGTGTCCTGGAGCGGAGATAGGGTCTCGTCGATTCTACCACATTACTACCTTAACTTTTGTCGAAATACAAGTTATTAATGATGAGGTGTCAGTTTTTACACATCATATGCAACTGCTATAAGGATAGCTCTTTATTGATTTTTTATTTTTTACGTCTACTTTATTACAGGCTCGGACATAGAAAGAAAAATCCGGTGCACTAGGTACGTAACGCCAAAATTAAGACAAAACTATTCGCAACTTATTCGAAAATCGTTTGCCATTAACAACACAAGGTCAAAAATGTGCGCCCAGCTTTTTACGGCCTGTTTAAGAAATAAAGAGAAAGAAATAAGTGTTCCTGTGTTCCGTGACAAAAAGTTGAGAAGAGTTTCGACATCATTTGAATATACGCAGTCCTTTTTACTTTAGTGAACTGAGATTACAAACAGTAAGTAGGCACCAAAATACGAATTTTTTATTTTATTATTGAAATTAATAAAAATTGAAAAGTTTGCAACCCTGGATGCGACCTTCCGAGAATAAAAGTAACTATAGTTACTTAACCTAAAATTATTTAACTAAATAGATTACATTAGCAACATTATTTAACTAACCGAAAATGATATTGTAATTTAAAATTGGTTACGCGTAGATATTAATGCAAATTACATGATTCGACAACAACGTCGATTTAGAAATTTCTAGTTTATTTAAAAATTTAGTAACTCAATTCTTATTAGAGAGTTATTTTCTTTTAAAATAATTTTAAAAAGGTTCACTATTAGATACCTTTATTAAATTACGCTTATAGAAACAGGAACAGAAAATTTATTCCACTGGTGAAATAAGGCCTTCCCATACATTGCCTCATAGGAGGCAATGTATGGCCTCATAAGAGGGACTTTGTGAATGTTTCCACGCTGGGCAGAGGGGTGGCAACCGCAATTTTTTTTAATTTGTAGTTATTATCAGGAAGATGCTGCTGCTCACCCCCTGTTTCAATTTCCCTCTGTTGCCTCTTACGATACCCTCGTGACGATATGGGATAAGGGTGACGATTAAGGCTAACAAGAAGTAACGGCAGAGGCTCATTTTGGACCGTGGACGGGTTAATAAAGAATAAGAATCACAAGCTATTCATTAGATGGCAGTAAAATCGATCTGGACGTTGTAGGTCCACGCTGCAGCTATAATAATAATATATAATGATATATATAATAATAATATAATAAGGCGTAGGGAAGTGACGACCCCATCGCCCTCTGACGTAATGGTTATGTGACAAAACTGCTACGTGAGCGCAGTCAGTCAGCACCTTGCCAAGAGGTGTTAGTGCCGTGCCTCGGCAAAAATTGAAGGTGCAAAGGCCTGCTTATGCACATGGCCGCATCATGAAACGGCGCCGGGTCTGGCCGTCTCCCGTTAAATGTCGCCCACGAAAATGGAAGATGGAATTTTATAGAACGCGCAAAGAGCCGCTGCCTGGAGGTCGCCAGGGCGTGTCTGGAGCTGGCGCTGGACACGACGGCATACGAACCACCAGCCGAGCGCAAGGCGCTGCACGACCACCCATTAGCACCTCGCATCCATCATCCCCACTAGCTGGCTTGGTGTCGGCAGGGTCTTCGCGGGTCCAGCAATCGGCACCCGCCACTCTTGTAGTACGCCACAACAACGCTACGGACAATCAAAATGAATACCAACGCATTGCGGGCGTATTTTAGGGCGAAAGGGGGAGAAGTTGGAGGTTTTGCATATCGGGCTAGGATGCATTGTCCTTTTGGTGAGCTGGAGCCATCTCTAACCGTCACAGAGCAAAACCTGCCAGGCCGAGTTCGGTATATCTTGCGCTCAAATATATTAGATGTTGCCGAACTCGAACGGCTACGACGGGAGGCTGTTCCCTCATCGGATAAAAATGCTACGGCTGAGGATACGGCGCCACAACTTGCAGAGCAACCCGCAAACATAGACCCGCCGTGAATACCCCAGTTGTGGTTGATTCAAACGATAGTGGAACAGTCGCCCAGGAACTGGAATTAGAGCATATGAGGAGTACATTGTAAGAGGCGATTGTGGAAACGCGCAGTACGCCTCTCGAAAATCGACCGCGACTTACCCGCATAGCCCCAAGCAAGCGGAATCGGGCTGTCGTGAGGGTTCTGAACCCAATGCTAGAGACCTATTTGGAAGCCAGCCGGGACCTTTGTAAGACGGACTCAATTCTTTTTGGCGCCGCACTGGCAGTATGCCGTATTATAGGCGCCAAACTGTATATATACTAAATAACTCCGTCAGTCAGTCAAGTCAGTTATCCCAGCTTGGGGAATAAGAATTGAAGAACGTATCGCAAAGGCTAGGGACCTCATCGGCAGACTGATATGCTTCAGGTCAGGTAATAAAAGGACAAGAATTGTGCGCACCGTCAGGATGGCGACCAATGGTAAGTGGAACGGACCCAGCAGCGAATCAGGCCGACAATATTGCATTCTGGTGCGGCTTGTGGTCAGAGCCCGTAAATCACAGCGAGAGCCCTTGGGCGGAAGTTGTGGCAAGTCAGTGTTCGAGTATTACGCCCACTCCATCATTGTAACGCCGGATGTCGTACCTGAGATGGTCCGTAGGGCCCCGAACTGGAAAAGTCAGGGACTCGACGGGTTGCATCACTACTGGCTGAAGAGGTTCGTGGTTTGTCACGCTGTGCTCACCCGACAGTTTCAAGAGGCTCTCAACCAGAAGTCGCTCGGAGCCTCTTCACTACTGGAATCACTCATTTGATTCCTAAAGACTAGGTTACCACAGACCTGAGCAAATACCGCCCCATCACGTATCTACCGACCATATACAAGACACTAACATCCATTTTGAGCGCGACTCGTCACCTGGACTCAAATCAGGTGACGTCGCGCGCTCAAAATGGATATCGGAGCGATGGTCGTGGAACCAAGGAACCACTCCTCGTTGACGCGGTCATTGGCAAAGTGGTGAAACGCAACCGTCGGAACTTCTCTGCTGCCTGGATAGACTACAGAAAGGCACTCGACTCGGTTTCCCATACATGACTAAGGAGGGACGGCTGAAGAAAGCCGCATAAGAATAAGAAGAGGTGTCTTCCAGGGCGATTTTCTGAGTCCAATATGGTTGTGCCTCTCTTCGAACCCTCTCAGTACTTTACTGGAGGGCTCCGGGAGGGGATTTCAGCTTCGGAAAGGAGGTGAAAAAGTGACCCACCTTTTATATGTGGATGATCTCAAGTTATTCGCCTCCAGTCGTCCCAAATTGTGGAATTGATAAATATCACTTGTGAATTTAGCAGTTCTATTGGATGGAAACGGATAAGTGTGCGGTCCTCCATGTTGAATGGGAAAGGGTTGCTAACTCTGAGAGCATTGATTTATCTACGCCCGTCAACTTAAGGACCCTTTCCGGAGCAAAACATACCAATGCCTGGGTATGTCACAGAAAATCGGTATCGATGAGGCTGGTATGAAACGTTGCTTTTTAAACGCGCTTACCATGCATAATCGTGAAGTGTGCAACCTCCGTAATTACTTTCTGACGAGATCAGTTGATCCATTCGACGGCTAGGAAAATGGCTGAAAATAGGTATATTAATTCCATAGATTATAATGAGGGCGCCTAAAAACGCCGCCTTTTACCTTAATTCTTTTTGCCCTAATTTATAAGTTACTAATAAGTTTAAGTTTAGTTTATATATATATATTTTTTAAATATTGTTATTATTTCTGTTGAATAATATGGATAAGTTAAGTAATGAAATCGATGCTGTCAGTTTATCAGTGGCAAAAACATGTGAAATTGATATGTGCAAAGAATATCTCTTCAAACCTGCGAACTTTTTTACTATTTTAACACAGAACATTCGTAGTATAAATAAAAACATGGATAATTTCCATATCCTCCATCAAAGATTGGACACTGACTGCGACATCATCATACTAACAGAATGTTGGCTATCTAAAAGCCAAAGCAACCTCCCATTACTGCCAGGTTACAATACTTTTAGTAGTAAAAATGTATATAACTAAAATGACGGTGTTGTAGTCTTTGCGAAAAAAAATACGAACATATCAGTCGAGGAGCCTAATATGCTAGATTGTAGCAGGTTATTGGTGAAAGGTGGTTTAATACTTCTCGTATTAAAGAAGCGATCGAGCGGAACCAGGGCTCCAAAGTCTTTGCCAGAGATCTGTCTGCCAGAAAGAGCCAACTGTCAAGGCTGAAGACTGAGTGTGGCAACATCGTTTCCGGGACACCTGAGATTTTGAGTGAGATTGAGAGGTTCTATGGGCAGCTGTACACATCATCGTTGGAGCCACACGCAAGTGTGAGTAACGATCCAAGAGCAAGTCTTATCCGACACTATTCCGATGATATCCCGGACGTCAGTCTAAGCGAGATTAGAATGGCTCTCCAGCACCTTAAAAACGGCAGGGCCCCAGGCGAGGATGGAATTACAGCGGAGCTTCTGAAAGCGGGTGGAACACGGGTACTTGAAGTCCTTCAGAAGCTCTTCAATTCCGTCCTCCATGGTGGCACTACTCCAGAGGCGTGGAGCAGAAGTGCGGTGGTCTTGTTCTTTAAGAAAGGCGACAACGCTATCTTAAAGAACTACAGACCGATTTCCCTTCTGAGCCGCGTCTACGTGCTGTTTTCGAGAGTCATTACGAATCGTCTCGCACGCAGACTTGACGACTTCCAGCCTCCCGAACAAGCCGGTTTCCGAAAAGGCTTCAGTACCATAGACCACATACATACCCTGCGGCAGATTGTACAGAAGACTGAAGAGTACAATCTGCCACTTTGCCTGGCGTATGTGGACTATGAGAAAGCCTTTGATTCCGTCGAAATTTGGGCGGTGCTACAGTCCCTTCAGCGGTGCCAAGTTGACTGTCGGTATATCGAAGTGCTGAAGTGTTTGTACAGTAGGGCTACGATGGCTATCCGAGTACAGAACCAGAGCTCGAAACCTATCCAACTGCAGAGAGGTGTAAGACAGGGTGACGTTATATCCCCGAAACTCTTCACCGCTGCATTGGAAGACGTTTTCAAGCTACTGGACTGGAAAGGATACGGTATTGACATCAATGGCGAGTACATCACTCACCTTCGATTTGCCGACGATATAGTCCTTATGGCAGAATCGCTGGAGGACTTAAGCACTATGCTCAATGACCTCAATAGTGCCTCCCAACGGATAGGTCTTAAGATGAACATGGACAAAACAAAGATCATGTTCAATGTCCATGTCACACCTATGCCGGTAGTTGTTGGGAGCACTATGCTCGAAGTTGTTGACGAATACGTTTACCTGGGACAAATAGTCCGACTAGGTAAGTCCAACTTCGACCGAGAGGTCAATCGACGGATTCAACTCGGCTGGGCAGCGTTCGGGAAATTACGGCATATCTTTTCGTCAGGTATACCTCAATCTCTAAAAACTAGATTGTACAACCAGTGCGTGTTGCCAGTGATGACTTACGGATCTGAGACGTGGTCCTTCACTGCTGGCCGTATGAGGACGCTTAAGGTCGCTCAGCGAGCTATGGAGAGGGCTATGCTCGGAGTTTCTCTGCGTGATAGACTCAGAAATGAGGATATCCGCAGTAAAACCAGAGTGACCGACATAGCCCAACGGATTAGTAAGCTGAAGTGGCAATGGGCCGGCCATATAGCTCGAAGAACCGATAACCGATGGGGAAGAAAGGTTCTCGAGTGGCAGCCTCGTACCGGTAGGCGTAGTGTAGGGCGACCCCCCACTAGATGGAGTGACGACCTGGTAAGACATGCAGGAAGTCGATGGATGCAGGTGGCTCAGGACCGTGCTTTGTGGCATTACTTGGGGGAGGCCTATGTTCAGCAGTGGACTTGTGAAGGGCTGTAATGATGATGATGATGATGATGATTGGTGAAAGTGGGTCATGAAACTGCTATCCTTGCTGTTTATAGACCTTGTGGTTTTAAGCAAATAGACAATTTTATCACGTCATTAGACATTACACTTAGGAAACTGTCGTCGTTCAAAAATATAGTGTTAACGGGTGATATGAATATTGATATTAACCCAGAAGGCAGTGAAGGCGGAGCAAAAGACTACCTTAATATATGTGCATGCCAGGGCCTGCTTCCAGCACATTTGCTCCCTACACATCTAAGTGGTTCTTGTTTAGACTACGCTTTACTAAAAACTAGGTTACCATCAATAACCCTTGTCACCAGTCCTATAGTAACCGATCATAGTGCCGTCATTCTTAACTTAAGCCTTAAAATATCGAAACCTAATTGTAAGTACTCTATTACTAAAATTAACACGAAAAACCTTGAACAAGCAATTCAAAACATTGACTTTAGCCCAGTTTATAAAACCGATGACGTAAACATCTCTTTGCCTTACTTAATAAATAACATACGAAATGCCATTGCTAGCAATACTTCGTATAGAACAGTAGCTAAAAAAAATAATAACTTAAAGCCTTGGATTACACCTGGCCTGATTAGGTGCATGAAACACAGGGACAAACTACATCTGATGGCAAAGACCTCTTCAGATAATTCCATTTTACAAATTTCATATAAAAGATATAGGAATTTTTGTAACAATTTATTAAAAAAGTTGAAGTATAATTATCTTACAAACTTACTAGAAGAGTCTGGTAGAGATAATAAAAAGATTTGGCGGCATGTAAAAGATATTGCATTTATTTCCAAACAGCATGAATCTTCGTCAGAATTATTACAAAATAATGCCTCGCTGCTTATATCAGCAAATACAGTAAATAATTACTTTGTGAACGTTGGTAAAAATCTGGCTGAGCAGATAACAAACAACTCTAACAATAATTGTGAATACAGGGCCACTTTATTAACTCAAAAAACCTGCCAATTAAGCTCGTTCACATTATTAGATACGGACCCTAGTGAGGTGGAAAGGATTATAATGGGACTGGAAGAAACAAGCGCGG